ATATATATATATATATATATATATATATATATATATGGTAGGTTTAAATATATAAAATTCTAATTTATCGCAGCTAAACTAATACACATTATAGATAGTAACCCTGATCATATAGCATTATAGTTTTATAAACAAGGGTGTCGAATTCTTGATGAACGAATATGAATTAATATTAATTTTTTTAATTATAGGTCGTTTTAAATGTACAAACACAAAAAAAAAATGGATTTTAATAAATACATTTCAATGGATCGCTAAAGAAAGAGATGAATTGATTGTAAATAAATAACTTCATGGACTTTGACTTAGACTCTATTATACCTTTAAATCATAATTAAATATTAAAGTGAAATGGTTATTTATTCATTATTCACGGATTCCTATTGTAATTAGATATCTTGGTTAGATTAATTAACTTTGTATAATTATAAATAGGATCAACACATTGATCATGCAATTAATCATCCAAACAATTATAAATATATTTGAATTGTGAGAGATTTGATCTAAGGTTTAATTAACTTCAATGTTCATGAAAGTTAATAAATAGCATAAGTTGGTAAACAAATGCACTCTTACACATTGAAATTACGATTATATCATATGAATCTTGGTTTTGGTCAAAACACTAGTCATAATTACTTAATGATCATAAAACAACTATGATTCAAACTAATAAAACCATATTTGTTGTCTAAATTCTACTAACTCAACAGTAGATAATAAAAATCTTGGTTTTTGCTTTTATGTAAATTATGGGACTTATTTGTTCCTTTTGGAAATGACTATGTTTAAAGTAAATCTTTTGGGCATATAAGCCTCTGTTTGAGTTGGGTTAATAAATCCTAGTGCTTTATGCGTTTTGGTTGTTTTCTTAGAGGATTGATTTATTGGAGAATAAAAGTCAATGAGTCAACCATTAGAGAAGTGACATGTCATTTAAATGTTAGAATCGTAATTAGTACGCAATGTTTTTCTGTTCAGTATACATTGATATATTGTATTATTATTCAATAACAATGAAAAACACTTCTCTCAATTTTCTCTCTCAATCAATTCATTTCTCATCTTTCTACATGGTATCAAAGCAGAAGTTCCTGATTTCATTCTTGTTGTTTCTTATTCACTTCATTTGATCTCTGTTTTTCAAATCATGTCAAGTTCTACTCAAAATCAAACAAACGGATCCAATGGATCTAACATTGAAATTTCAAGCCCTTATTATCTTGGATCTTCAGACAATCCAAGCACGATTCTGGTGTCAAAACTCTTCGATGGAATAGGATTTACAGCCTGGAAGAGATCGATGACATTAGCTCTTTCAGCAAAGAACAAACTCTGTTTTGTCGATGGTTCTATGAATCCTCCTGCTGCAAGTTCAGATCTCATTCACGCATGGAATAGAGTTAATTCAATGGTCATCTCCTGGATCTTGAATTCTTTAAACAAAGAAATCGCTGAAAGTGTATTGTTTCTCCAGACAGCAAAGGAAATCTGGTTTGAACTAAGAGAAAGGTATTCTCAATCTAATGGCACTTTGATCTATCAAGTTCAAAAGAAATTATACTCTATTAATCAAGGATCTGAGGATTTTTCTAGCTATTTCACAAAAATAAAAAAGATATGGGATGAATTAAAGATGATTCAAGAAGTTCCTGCATGTACATGTGAATCGGCTGCTCTTTTTAACAAATTTATGGAAGAACAACGTTTAATTCAGTTACTGATGGGATTAAACGATTCATATAAAGCTATAAGAGGACAGATCTTAATGATGAATCCATTACCTAACATTTCTACTGTTCATTCATTGTTAATTCATGAAGAAAGGCAGAGAGATATTTCTTCAAATCCAAATGTTGTTACGGAGGCCATGGCAATGCAAGTTAATCAATCATCAAAAAGGAATCTTAACTGTTCTCACTGCAAGAAGTCAGGGCATGTGAAGTCAACATGTTACAGACTGAATGGTTTTCCAGCCGATTTCAAGTTCACAAAGTCAAAGAAGATGGATTCAATGGCAAATAATGTTGTTGATAATTCTCAATCTATATCACCTGAGCAGTATAAGCAATTGATGCAGCTTCTGAACAATAACAGTGGATCAACTCAAATCAACTCTGTGATTACTGATGGATCAATGGATACTGCAGGTAACTATACTGATTCTTCAGGAAATCATATATCATACATCTTTAATGTTGTTCTTGGTTCAAATGGTGAAAAATCTTCATGGATCATTGATTCGGGGGCAACAGATCATATTTGTTCAGACAAAACCTTATTTTCTTCACTAATGAATTTTCCTCAGCCTCATTCCATATCTTTGCCAAATGGTCAAACACTACCAGTTTTTCAAATTGGAGATGTTCCAATCCACAATACCATCAATCTCTGTGATGTTCTATATGTTCCAGAGTTTAGACATAATCTCATATCTATTGCCAAAATACCAAACAGTTAAAGGTTTGGATAATCTTTACTGATGATTTTTGTGTAATGCAGGCCCCTTTATCGAAGGATAGCTTCATTATAGGGAAAAGAGTGAACAATCTGTATATTCGTGGCAACAAGTACTTGAAGACTCCTACATCTATTAATGTCAATCAGATAGTTTCATGCAAAAAGAATGATGTAACTCTGTGGCATAATAGATTAGGTCATTTACCATTTGAAAAACTGAGATTGTTATCTCTTACAAATAAGGAATGTACGAATGACTTGTTCAATTCATGTATTGTTTGTTATCAAGCAAGACAACACAAACTATCTTTTTCATTGAGTGAGACTGTATCACAACAACCATTTGATCTGGTTCATATAGATATATGGGGACCATAAAAAAAGATGGAATGATTGTTCACCAACACAAATTTATCACAGATTTATTGGAGTATTACTTGCCTCATGATGCTAAAATTACTCATTCTCCATTGCCTAGCAAACTCAAAGATTTATATGTCAAATCTGATCAACTCAAGGATCCTACATCATATAGACAACTGGTTGGGAAATTGAATTTCTTATTACATACTCGACCAGACTTATCATTTACAACTCAATTTTTAAGTCAATTCAACAGCAATCCTGGTCAAAAGCACTTTGATGCAGCGATTCATGTTCTCAAGTATTTGAAAGGAACTTCATATCAAGGTGTATTTCTTAATGACAAATCAGATTTCAAATTAGAAGCCTTCTGTGATTCAGATTGGGCTGGTTGTCCTACTACTCGAAAGTCTGTCAGTGGTTTTTTTATCACAATGGGAGGAAGTCCAATTTCGTGGAAATCAAAGAAACAAGCTACTGTCTCTTTGTCTTTAGCAGAAGCTGAATATCGCTCTATGAGAAGGGTTTGTTCTGAGTTGGCCTGGTTAAGTCGTTTACTGACTGAATTTGAAGTTCCTAATATCACTCCTATACCAATGAAGTGTGACAACATGGCAGCAATATATATATAGCAAAGAATCCTGTTTTTCATGAGAGAACGAAACATATAGAAGTAGATTGCCACTTTGTGCGTGAAAAACTTCAAGATGGTCTCATATCTTTGTCCCACATTTCCACTAAAGATCAACTTGCTGATGTTTTAACCAAGTCCTTATCTGGTGCAGATCATCTTCATGCTATTTCCAAGCATGGTCTCCTTACATGTCCACCAGCTTGCCGGGGGCTATTGGAGAATAAAAGTCAATAAGTCAACCATTAGAGAAGTGACACGTCATTTAAATGTTAGAATCGTAATTAGTACGCAATGTTTTTCTGTTCAGTATATATTGATATATTGTATTATTATTCAATAACAATGAAAAACATTTCTCTCAATCAATTCATTTCTCATCTTTCTACATGATTCGAGTAAGTTGGATTATCATCATTTGCTTTAACTTATTTTTTGATGTGTGTTCGGATTCTGGCTTTAGTTAGAGATTAGTTTGAACATTAAAAGACCAAAGAATGTGTGGTGAGTTTGAACCACGTGATATGTTATTGTTAACAAACTTGCTTGATTTTCAATCTTGATTAAGTTTTACTTTATTGGGACAAAAATATTTATCCGTAATCTGAATTTTTAGGAATTACAAATGTTTTTCTTAAGTATGTTTTCAAATTAGACCTAGCGAGGCTATTTTGACTTTTTGCGTCTAATCTCTAACATGCATTACCAATACATTCATTGACTAAAACTAATCAAACGTACCACAAAATCATCAATTTTTTCATTCTGAACGAGAGAATCATTTACAACAAGATAAAATATGTGTTAACTCCTATGCATATTTTATTATATAATTACGATAAGATAGGCATAAAGATGGCCATTGATTATTACGCCACATATATAAAATTAACGAGCTTATGCAGCCAAAAGTCGAACCACTGAATGAAACAAGGGAGGAGGCTTTCACGCAACCTTCCAACGGAACATCCAATGTGTCGCATAAAGATTTTCTTGTTCGAGTGTTCCCAAATTCCTATAAAAACAAGATTCGCAGATGTAGCGATCCAAGCGGCAGTCTAGACAATAAAGGTGGCTGTTGGCATCTATCTAATCATCAACAAAAATGATACTCAAAACGATAGCGACTGTTGATACTTTTTCTTATAAATTATATGCATGGTGCTGGTAGTGGTGGCGCATCGGCTGTGCTGCTGTCATGGTGTTTGAACAGCATGCTAGTGGTATACGCCATCAGTCGCATGCTTCTTGCACTTGCCACCACCACATTCGTCGTAACAGTTGAATAATCGTTATAAATCAGTACTTAATTGCCATTGATGTTGACAACAGAAGAAGTTTGTAATAAAATAATTCGTCAAAGACTTAATTTTTAAATCTAGTGATTAATTAAGAAACGGACATTTCAGCCGGCCCCAATGGACGTTTCGCTTGATCTATCTTCACTTATTTAACAACTCTTCACTTAATCACTTATTCACTCCTCTTTATAAAACTCCTATCTGGTTTCAGTGTGTTCTATAATTCTACAAAACCAAAAAGAATGACGAGGGTCGAGATCATTTCTAGAGAGAACATAAAACCATCTTCCCCAACACCACTACACCTGAAATCATACAATCTTTCTATCTTAGATCAGCTCATTCCTGCTCCTTTTGCACCCATCATACTATACTATCCAAATCAAGATCAAGCAAGTGATCTTGAAGTCCAAGAACGATTGAAATCTTTAAAGATTTCATTATCCAAAACATTAACACGCTTCTACCCTTTAGCCGGGACTATAAAGGACGACCTTTGTATTGATTGTACAGACGTTGGTGCTTACTTTGCAGTGGCTCATGTCGATGCTTATCTTGATGAGTTCCTGAATCATCCAGATTTTGATCTGGTCAACCGGTTTCTTCCATGTGAACCTAGTTTCAATGGGAGTAAGGAAGGAAGTCATGTGAGTAACATTCAAGTTAACATTTTTGAATGTAATGGGATCGCTATTAGTTTGTGTATTTCACACAAGATTCTTGATGGTGCTGCGTTGAGTATTTTCCTAAGAGGGTGGGCTGGGAGTTGTTGTGGGTCGAAAGAAGTTGTGTACCCGAACATGAACACAAGCTCTTTGTTTCCCGCAAAAGATTTATGGCTCAAAGATTCATCAATGGTGATGTGGGGTTCGTTGTTCAAGATGGGTAAATGTAGCACAAAAAGATTCGTTTTCAGTTCTTCAAAACTCGATGCTCTCAAGGCGAAGGCAGTGGGAAACAGGGTGAAACATGCTTCACGTGTTGAGGTGGTGTCGGCTTTGCTATGGAAGTGTATGATGGCTGCATCGGAAGAAAAGGCTGGCTTTTGGAAGCCATCTTTGTTAAGCCATGTTGTGAACCTTCGCAAAAGGATATTATCATCATTTTCATTAGAAAATTCCATCGGGAACTTGATTTGGATAGCGGATGCTGAATGTAAAACCGAGTCTGAAATCGGATTAGGAAATCTGGTTGGAAAAGTACGTGATGGGGTGTCGAGAATTGATGGTGAGTTTGTGAAGAACATGCAAGGTGACAAAGGGATAGAAGTGATGGAAGATTCATTGAAAAGGTTGAAAGATTGTGGGGATTATGTTGGGTTTACGAGTTGGTGTAAGATGGGGTTTTATGAAGTGGATTTTGGTTGGGGAAAGCCGATGTGGGTGTGTGGGAGTGTTTGTGATGGTAGTCCAGTTTTTATGAACTTTATTGTTTTGATGGACACGAGATGTGGTGAGGGGATAGAAGCTTGGGTGTCTATGGATGAACACGAAATGCATATTTTAAAACACAACTCCGAGCTCTTGGAGTTTGCATCACTTGATCCGAGTCCTCTAGACATGAACAAGTGATCGTTTGATCGAAGCTGCTATATATGAACCACCGAGCAATTTAGTTGTGGGTCCACCGATCCATATAAAGTTATAAACTAGTCATATTTTCTACTTTTTTGTGTTTAGATGCATGGATAGATGTTTTCTAAGTCTTGATCACTTGTAAATAGGTAATTTTCTAACCTTTTAGTTTTCGAATCTTGTAAGTTGGCTAAATCTCTGAAATGTCCAACCATTGCGTTGAATACAATGATGCAATGAAAATATCGATAAATATATGTTATTAATAATAAATATATCATTATCATTTAACTTGTAAATGATTTTGTTTAACTATTGCTATGGTTAGTTAAATTGAAAAAAATAACATATTCGGCCATACAAATTAAGGGTGACATCCATGGTTCGAGAGGTTGAAAGGTGGATAGAACGTTTGTGAGATCTTTAAATAAAGGTGCTGAAAGTTGGAGGACTGGGTTTGGCAAGTTAGAAAGCTGAGGACTTGAAGAGTGTTACCTGATCAAAGTTGGAAAAGTAGAGTGTTACCTATCCGGATAAGAGTATAAACTGGGTATTGAGTATTGACATTGGAAAGTGATTATAATATAACATTTTAAAGCACCAATTGTTATGTATAAAAAAAAATTGTTGTGTACGGAGCATCTCTCATTGACATTTATGTTGCATTTATGGCTCTCATTATGGTCAAGCACTAGATATTTTGTTGAGCATTTTGAGAGAATTGGTCTTCCATTAAAGATACCCACCTAAGTTTTTTTCTTTGTAATCGTATAGTTCTAGTCGTGTAATCAATAAGGTTCACTTCTGTGTATTTGTTTGGTGATAAAAGTTCGGTCGTGTTCTTTGTATACAAAATTAAAGTGTTCTAGCTACAAGATTTTTTTGTTAATCAAAACTATTTTGATTAAATTTGTTGAAGGCTTACGTTTCTAAACACTACAAAGCCAATATGACAAGGGTCGAGATCATTCAGAGAGAGCAAATAAAACCATCTTCCCCAACACCACCACACCTTAAATCATTCAATCTTTCCATCGTGGATCAACTCATTCCTGCCCCTTACGCCCCCATCATACTATACTACCCAAATGATAAAGATCACACCAGTGATCTTCAAGTCCAAGAAAAGTTGAAATCTTTAAAGAATTCGTTATCCAATACATTAACACGATTCTACCCTTTAGCTGGGACAATAAAGGATGACCTTTCTATCGATTGCACAGACATTGGTGCTTACTTTGTAGTGGCTCGTGTGGATGCTTCTCTCGAAGAGTTCTTGAAGCATCCAAATTTCAATCTGATCAATAGATTTCTTCCATGTGAGCCTAGTTTCAATGGGAGTAATGAAGGAAGTTATGTGAGTAACATTCAAGTTAACATTTTTGAGTGTGGTGGAATCGCTCTTGGTTTGTGTATTTCACACAAGATTCTTGATGGTGCTGCCTTGAGTACTTTCCTAAGAGGTTGGGCTGGGACTTGTTGTGGGTTGAAAGAAGTTGTGCAACCGAACATGAACACGAGCTCTTTGTTTCCCACAAAAGATTTATGGCTCAAAGATTCATCAATGGTGATGTGGAAATCATTGTTCAAGATGGGTAAATGTAGTACAAAAAGATTCGTTTTCAGTTCATCAAAACTCAATGCTCTCAAGGAAAAGACAATGGCAAATGGGGTGAAAGTGAAAGATCCTACACGTGTTGAGGTAGTTTCGGGTTTGCTATGGAAATGTGTGATGGCTACATCTGAAGAAAAGACTGGTTCTTGGAAACCATCTTTGTTAAGCCATGTTGTGAACCTTCGCAAAAGGGTATTATCGTCATTTCCATTAGAAAATTCCATCGGGAACTTGATTTGGATAGCGGATGCGGAATGTAAAACCGAGTCTGAAATCGAATTTGGAAACCTTGTTGGAAAAGTACATGATGGGGTGTCGAGAATCGATAGTGAGTTTGTGAAGAAACTACAAGGTGATAAAGGGAGAGAAATGATGGAAGATTGTTTAAAAAGGTTGAAAGATTGTGAGGATCATGTTGGGTTTACGAGTTGGTGTAAGATGGGGTTCTATGAGGTGGATTTTGGTTGGGGGAAGCCGATGTGGGTGTGTGGGAGTGTTTCTGATGGTAGTCCGGTTTTTATGAATCTTATCGTTTTGATTGACACGAGATGTGGTAAAGGGATAGAAGCTTGGGTGTCTATGGATGAACATGATATAAATATCTTGAAACATAATTCCGAGCTTTTGGAGTTTGCATCTCTTGATCCGAGTCCTCTAGAAATGAACAAGTGAAGCTAAACTCTATATGTATGTCATCTTTATTTATATACCTATTATTCTTGTTTCGTGCTTCTCTTCGATTGGATGTGTTATTATGTATTTTAATTTTACCAATCCTCATTATACTATGCTAATTAGAAAAAGTGTGTTTCTTTGTTTTTTGCTCATTCATTTAGCAAACACAACATATTATCAACTTCTATTGTCGTTAGATCACAATCAATATCGCCAATATCTTATAATCATTGCTAAGTTGCTAACTTAGTAAAAAAAATGTTATATCTCGTGACAAAATCCAAAGTTGCACTATTTAGAAACAATTTTTGTATCTAATTTAAGTTCCTTATAGTGTACATTTACATGATTACACTAAAACCTTGGTATGTGCAAATATAACACAAAAGTACACAAACCTCATATGCATCATGGTGTTCGATATAATTCACTCCTTCACATCATTTTAAACGACCCATGAGCTTCACATCCTTAAAAGTCGATATATATACCTGTCCAACACAAAGTACCAAAATTTTAAACATGTAAAAAGCCGTGTTTTAATTTAATTTAACAAGCCAAGATTCTGTGAAACTCACCTCGTGTCACATGTGATTAAGTCTGCGTTTTTTCTGTTAGCTGACCTAGTACTTTTGACTCGTTTAAGGTTTGTACCATATGATTCAAGACTCAAGAGTCTTTCTCATGTACCTCAAAGCAGACCTTAGTGTAGCCCTAGCTTTCCCATCTGGAGTGCACCCATATGATACCATTTCCTCATATACACGTGGAACCTGAAAAAAAATTATGTCATACACTTTTTTTAACACCCAAATAACGTTTTCTTAACTACATTACATACCTCACTAAATTTCTCCACGCGAATTAAAGCTTTCATTAGAGTAGTGTATGTGACAACATCCGGTTTCACACCCTGTAATTGGAAACAATAAAACGGTTATAAGTTTCAAAAAAACATGATTCTTGGAGTTACAATTTTTTCAATTACATTTTCCTTCATGTATTGTAAAACTGCAAAGGCTTCAACATCTCTTCTATCTTCACCAAATGCATTGATTAATGCATTTAGAGCTAAATTACTCGGCTTCAAACCATCACTTGTCATGATCCTAAACGTATTAGCTGCTTGATTTGATAAACCCTGTTTCATAACATCAATTACATCAACTTAAAATTTTCAAGAAACTTGCTATTTATGCGAGGAAGATGAGAACATACATACCCTTTGTGCATAGGCATTAATCAAGGCATTATACATGGTCAATGATGGCTTTAAACCAGCAGACTTCATCACCTCTAAGCACTCGATTGCATCTGTATATCTCCCTGATTTTCCATATACATCAATCAGTGTAGTATAAGTAACAACATTTGGCAATAAACCTTCACTCTGCATCTTCCCCAACAAGTGTTTAACATCAACCCATTTCTCCTGTTGCCCAAATGAATTGATCATTATGTTATAAGTGGTTGTACAAGGTAAACACCCTCTTTGCTGCATTTCATCGAACAGGTTCTCTGCTTTCTTGTGATCCCCTGATTTACAGTAACAATCTATGAGTGTGTTCATTGTTACAGTATCTGGCTCAATCCCATCAACTTTCATTCGTTCCACTGTTGCCATTACATGATCAAGGATATTGTATTTTCCAAATGTATCGATCATAACGTTATAGAATTGTCTATCTGGCTTTACTCCACATTTCTGCATCTCTTTTAATACTTTAAATGTTTTTTGCCACTCACCTCTGTCACGATAACTTGCTAAAATCCTACTGAAAACTAATGAGTTTGGCTTTACATTGTTGGATTCCATCTCTTTCAACACGATTCTTGCACTTTCCCATCTACCCACGTTCCCATATGCATCAATCAAAAGGCTATATGTATGATCATCAGGTGAAACCCCATTTTTCTCCATTTCACTTACTATTGACTCTGCATCTTTCAAGCTACCATTTTTAACATACCCTTTTAACACAGCATTGTAAGCTCTGGTTCTGGGTATCACTCCGCCTTCTTTAATTTCTTCAAAAATGGCTTCCGCCTCCTCGGCTCTACCCAAATTCCCCAACTGCAAAATCAAAGAGACGACAGTGGAGGTTCTTGGGTTCATCCCTTTCCCTTGAATCACACCTAAGAAGTACATAGCTCTATCGACATCACCTGATTTAGCAAACCCTAAAACTATATCATTCAACAATTGCCCATCTAGCTCGATAGCATCTGATATCATTTCAGCGTACAATTTTTCTAACAACACTGAATCGATTTTATTACTACGAACTAAAGACTGAATAATTAAGCTGTAATTCACAAAATCTGATTGGTAACCTTCCCGCCGCATCCTGTTCATCAAATTGATGGCTTTCTCCAACTCATCGTTACGCGCGCATGCACCAATCAGTGCATTATACGTAATGGGAGTCATCGTTTGTTTCTGAGATAACAAAAAAGCTTCGTATAACTTCTCGGAGCGTCCGAGGGCATGGATTAAAATTGAGTAGAGCAGTTCATATGAGAAACAGAGATTATGCTTCTGGAGCCAAGTAACGAGGGCGTATGCGATTTCGAAAGAGGATGTTGAAGAAGATGTCAGGGATTTGAGAAGAGAGTGCCATAGTGGACCTGGGACTACTCGGTATGACTCAGCGAGCCGTAGCTCGGTTTGGTCGAGTGACGTGGGTGAGTTGGAATCGGATGTTTCGGAATCCGACTTGTAGGTGGAGAGGAACTGGAGGAGGGGAGAGAAGTCGTACCTGCGGTGGGGGTAGAGGGAAACGACGGCGTCTTGTGTAATTGTGTCATCTTCGGATAAGAAGGGGGAAGAGGAAAAAGAGGGCGATGCACGGAGATGTGAGTGGCTTATGTAAAAAGTGGAGGAGGAGAGCGGTTTTGGCAGTGGTTGGAAGAGGTTCCGGTGGCGGAGGAAGCGATTGGTGGTGGATAAGGGTGGAGGGAGGAGGAGAGCGTTCATTTGCGCAGGTTCTTGAGAACTGGTGGGTGGTCGGAAAAGCAGGATGGGCATTCCTCTATTTGAGAATTTATACAGTTAGTCCCTAAACTATTAGGAAAATATGTATTTTGCTAGGGAAGAGCAAAGGAACCGACCCGGTTGGAACCGGCACGAACCGGGAACCAAATTCGGCCAAAATTAAGAACCGATCCGGACCGTCGGTTCTACCGGTTCTCAGTTTTTTCCGTATCTTTAATGTTGGAACCGGTCCTCGAGAAATAGCAACATACTGTTCCGGTTTTTGCCGGTTCTACCGATTCCGGTTCCTACCGATTTCCGATTCCAAAAATCCACAAGAATATCGTCATGGTCCCGGCCCAACCGGTTCCATCGAGTTCCGGTTCCAGTTCCGGTACCGGTCCCCAGTCCATATGTTCATCCCTATATTTTGCCACCAAGCAGCTCACGTTTTATCAAATTTGGTATGGGTACCTATAAGTTATTAACACAAAAGTCCTTATGTTTATCATTAATAAAAAGAAAAAAAGTTTGATCCAATAATCACTTTTATATACATTAAAACCAGAAGTTTTCCAAAGGCCCACTGGGGCATACATGCGGCGTAATATCAGTACGCTCAACGTACTTCAATCCCAAGTAGTACGCACGACGTACATCTTAGTACGCCCAACGTACTGAGTTGTTATGTAATTTCAAACATTAAGTGCCTAATCCATCCAGTCACTTCGCCAACTTCCAGATTTTGGTCATTTATGTTGGATTAGTGTCTAAGTCCATAACTATTTTGGTATGTACTTGACCCGATGGTGCATGGTCCTTTTTGGGTTGCCTTCACCAAAGCAACTTGATTGGAGAAATAAATAGAGAGAGAGGTTATTATGATTTATTAATATGTTATAAGAATAATATATTAAAGGAGAAATCATATTTGTTTAATTAATATTGGTCAATAATTAATTAAGAATTAATTTTGTAATCAAGTGTAATTAATTAAACTAGAGGGGCTGAATTGTAATTATGTGATAGTTACAAAATAAGGTAAGGATTATCTTATATATATGGTGAACGAATTTGAGGTGTAAATCCCTTAGAATTTGACTAGGATAAGGATTTCTAGGACTTATCTTATGGTTGCTTGGTGGACAAGCAACTAGATAAGGATAATGACTAAAACCCTAATCTTTACACCTATATAAACCCCCTAAGGCTTGAATTCGGAACCCTTCCCAAGAGTCCTAAGGACGAATTCTAACCTCTCCTCTCTCTTTATACCTTCTCCACTTGCTTATGGTGTTTGTAAGCCATTAGAGGAGTGACACTTGTGACTCTCAGCTTTCCAAGGTCAATTCAAGGAGGAATTGGATTGTTATTGCTATATAACAATCAAGGTATGTTCTTAAACCTAATTACATGTGAATTTGGATTTCCATATGCTAGAATTAGGGTTTATAGTCTTGGATTCAAAGCATGTACAATAGAGAAACCTAGATCCAAGCATTAGGGTTTGTATGAGCACATAGGATGTCTTATGACCAAAACCCATCAGTGGTATCAGAGCTTTGATTGGTTTCTATTGTATTGATGCTTGTTGTAACTGAAAAATTCGATTTTTTGCATTCTGGAGGCTGGACTCGCCGAGTCCATGGCTGAACTCGCCGAGTCCAAGGCTGACTCGACGAGTCAACTCGTCAAAAGGAGGGTACTTCGGGATTTCTTGCTGTTTTTGCTTATGGATAGTTACCTTATCATGTTAGATCATTATTAATCCGATTATATGATATATTTGACTATAATTTTGATCTAATTGAAGATATTTATCAATTAATAAGATAATTGTTTCCTTATAAGATAATTGATTAATTATTTTGAGTAAATTGATAAATTGTTTTGCAAAAAATCATTAAAGAAATCATCAAATATGGATAATTATGTGATTAAATGTTAAGTTGAATTATTTGTTAGTTGATCCTTGTTGTTGTGAAAAGTTTCATATTTGGCCCTTTAGGTTTTATAGTTTAAA